GTGATCAATAACATGTCCCTATTCCCTAAGTGCCTGGTTTTACATCTTTCGGCCAACAGGTAAGTCTTTTTTTCACTACGTTCAAATCAATAATAAACATTTATAAATCTTTTTTTTGCAAACTAGTATTAAACCGTTTTAGTGTATACTTTTCCCTTTACTATTGTTCCACTTTTTGAAAATTTTATGTTGGCTAGATACAAACAAAAGTCCAACTTCGATCTAACTCTAAGATTCTAAAAATATTGACATCAAAGATTATTGTCCAAAAGTGTTAATATCCAATTCTATTAGATATTAAAATAATTTGCTTGAATATGCACCAATGGAATTGGAGGACGTATACTGTGACCATAAAGGCCAAAAAAATTTCGTGTTAGTTAGAGAGAGAGGCCTCTCATGACATGATTCCAATTGTGGTGCATACTCCTCTATCACCGTCCAACCTGTTGATCTAATTATTACCCATTTTCTATACTCCATATGATCATATGATCACTCAAACAAATTGTCACAAGTTTTTCACAGATTAGTCGTTCAATCGACGGTGATAGAATGTTCGTGAGACCAGTAAGGATCATATATTATGTCCACTCTGCCATCAATGTGATCTTCTTTCGGTCACAATTTTCTTGTTGTAAATGATTATATATATAAGAAAATATACAATGAGACCATTTACCTTCAGTAATATAATGTGACAATGTTATATTATAGAAGTAAGGTGCACCTCAAAAAACCCAATAGAAGGAAGTGTTCTTAAGTTGGAAACCTTTCAAGTGATCATCACGACCTTGAGATCTACAGACAAAAGAAAAAAAAGAAGAAAGAATTATAAGTCCTAAAAATAGTATAGCTTGTAAAAGTTATTTGGACAATCTATTTTCAATATTCTCAAAGTGTCCATAGATCCGCTCCATCTGCAGTATTTTTTGGAATTCTAAATTTCATAATAGGGTTGAACATAGATTTTTGAGCTCTCTTAAGGTTCCTAACATGGACATCTTCCGACAAAAGTTAGAGGTGAATAACAATTTAGGTTATGAAGTCAGATCTTTGATTTGATAATTGAAAATGAATGTTATTATTTGAATTAACTTTTCGTTTTTTTTGTTACAAATCAAATCAATATGAATATTTTGGCATGTGTACTATCTAATGAGGCACAAAAAAATATATTTAAAACAAATATTTCTCCTTAAAATGACCAAACTACGCCTTGAATGTAGCTGGAGTAATTTGGTAATTTTAAAATTTTTAAAATACTGTTTTATATTTTTCTATGTTGAGTGATGGTTTCAAGTAGATGCACCTAAAGTTTAAGCTCAATTTGTAAAAAAATAATAATTAAATTTCAAATAGTACATGCATTTTCAACCATACAATCAAGATCGGATGACTAGGAGCATAATTAAACTACTACTCATTTTAGTTGGCAAATACTTATAGGCAAATTTCTACAATATTTCATTCTTGGCACTTCACTATCTAAAGTCCATCATATGGTCATGATCGTCTGATAATATTTAAATTTTAATATTTTTTCTACAAATCAAACTAACTTGAAATTTAGATTGCGTGTACATCTAACCAATTCTAACCTAAATAAAATAATAAAAATAAGTATCAAATAATAAATGATCAAAATACCCCTAAAATATTTGTAAAGGTAATTTGGCTATTTTTATTAGTTGGATTATTTTTTAATATTTTATTTAGATGTGCCTCGCCAAGGCTATCATTCTCACAAAATTTCTGATTAATCAAATTTATAAAAATTTATTAAATTTTAAATACTACCAGACAATCATGACCGTCCAATGACTTATTGATGGTGATGAGTTATAAGTGAAATATCTTAAAAATTCGCTCATGAGTATTTTTAAATGTTTTCCCATGTGTGTATATGTGTATTCTTGAGTATAACATGATGGATCTCATTAATTGCCTCTATCAAAAGAGATACTTCAGGGATTCTTTTGAACGTTGGGATCAACTAAGAATTATGATAAAAGAGATACTTCAGGGATTCTTTTGAACGTTGGGATCAACTAAGAATTATGATATGATTATTTTTGAGCAAAAAGCTAAAATTTGAGATCCTCAACGCTTAGATCTTACCCTTCAGGTGTTCATTATTCAATCTTGAGGCATTATTATTTTAAGCACAAAAGTATCTTAATCATCATCATTTGAGCCTTATCCCAATTATTTATAGCCGGGTTATATTAATCATGTTTGCCATTCCACTATATTAAGCGTCATACTCTTAGTTAGACCCTAAGTCATCATATTCTTTTTCACTACTTCTGTCCTTGTCCTTTTGAGTCTTCCTTTTACCTTTTTAATCCTTCCACTTGAACCAAATCACCTCCTAAAGTGTTGTGTTAGGTCTACATTATATATGGCCCACTTAAGTTTACTTTCCTTCATCTTATTGCCTATTGGAGCGACCCTTAAGTTCTTTTTTATATATTTACTATAAATTTTATTATTTCTTAACTTGTCACTCATCCATTTCAACATTCTCATCTCAACTGTACTCATTATATATATATATATTGTTTCTTGACTGTACGACATCTTATTCCATAAAATATAGCTGGTCTTACAATTGACTTATAAAATTTCCCCATTTAGTTTCATTGGTATGTGATGCTTACATATTTCTAGATGCATGTCTCCACCTTGCCCACCTAGCTCTTATTCTATGCATGAAATTTTCGTCAATCTCTCCATCCTCTTGGATTATCAATCTAAGATATCAACAATAATTTCTTTTATGTATTTATTGGCCATCTATTTTAATTATTTCCTTGTTTCTACTTATATCATTACTAAACTTATATTCCGTATATTTTGTTTTAGTCCGGCTAATCTCAAAACCTTCAGATTCTAGAGTATTCTTCTAAAGTCATAAATTATGTTGACACCGCCATTAGTTTCATCAATGAAAACTATATCATCCACGAACAATATACACCACATTACTTCATCATGTAGGTGCGTAGTTGACTCTTCCATAATAAAAACAAAGAGATATAGGCTCAACATTGACCTTGATGTAGGCCTATTATAACTAAAATTCCTTTGTATCTCTACTAGTTGGGGTGCCCATATACATATCTTTCATCATGTCAATATATTATCTAGAGACTCCATTGTTTTCAATACTCTCTAGGTGAAAGAAAGACTAATGTGATCTTGTTGGGGAATATATGTTTTTATTTTTTTCTTTTAACCCATTTTTTTTTTTTTTTTTTGGCAAAGATCACTTACAAATAATTTTATTGCAATAACTCTTGCTTCAAAGAAAATAAAACTAACAAATCCAATATCTTAAAAACCTTGATGCTACTAAACCAATTTTATTTTAATCAAAAAAAATATTCACATTTTTTATGCTTGGGAATATAAAAACAATATAATTAAACACATCTCATTGAAAATTCCCTTGTATCTTTATTAGTTGGGGCTCCCTTATACATACCTTTCATCATATCAATATATTATCTAGAGACTCTTGTTTTCAGTACCCCAAAATTAACTCTCTAATTACTCTATCGTACGTTTGTTATATATTAATAAAGACCATTTGGAAATCTTCTCTTTTCTCCTTAAGCTTCTCAATCAGTTGTTTAAGTAAGAAAATACTCTCAATTGTTGACCTACTTGGCATACAACTAATTTTCTAATACCCTAGTTTCATGTCTCAATCATTGCTCAATCACTTTTTCTTATAGCTTGCTCGTAATTTTGAACCTTCGATAATTTGTATAGTTTTGTATGTCTCATTTATTATTGTAAATAAATCCGCAATACTTTTTTTCTATTTATATAATATTTTTTCGATTGAACAGGTTTGACCATTCAAAATATGTCAATCTCTCCCATACTCTTCTAAACCTCTAACGAGATGTATTTACTCTTCTAAACCTCTAACGAGATGTATTTAAACTTCTAACGAGATGTATTTTTTGTGTAGCAAAATTTGAGATCCTAAAATAATCTTAACTTGAGGGAAACGATAGACAGTATGATTCCGCGGGAGCAATATGTCTCTGGGCTATTTGGCTCAGTTGGAACTTTTCACGATATTCAATGGGGGAGCCGCCTGAAAATTTTGAAGGAGCAAAAAAGCCTAAAATTCTGCAATTTGATAGTCTCATTCTACGACACGTCATACGCAAAAATTAGCTTTTCTCGGTGACTGTTTCACACTTTTCTCAGACCAATCACGGTTTTCTATCTCTTGCACGAAATGTCCTCTTTCTCTCTCTAGAAAACCAGAAGAATCACTTTTTTTCTCTCGTGCAGTTTCTCTCTTCGGAGTTTGGAAAAGCAGGTTGGTTTCTTGAGAGGTAAGTTGTTACAGTCCTCGAAAAACGCAGTTCGTGTTTTTCGTAACATCAAATTTGAAATCGGAATTGTGTAGATTATGAGTTTTTATTTTGTTTTTTTATTTTAAAATTATCATTATGGGTTGAAAACCGACTTTATTTATTTTTTGATAACGGCTTCTGTTTGTAATT